AGTCCCAGCTACTTGGGAGGCAGTGAGTTGTAATGATGCCACTGTACACCAGCAGGAGCAACAGACCAAGATCCTGTCTCTTAAAAAAAAAATTCTAATTAGCATTTTTGGAGTCTTAGAAGCACCTCCAGCCAGATCTGAGTTGTTCCCACAGGCAGCTGAAAGTTATAAGAGAACCTAGTGGAGAAAGGCATTGGCCATGGCTGAACACTTTAGAGAAGCAAGTAGATGTCTTGTCTGCTTAACTTATCTCAAAAACCCCATGTACTTGAGATGTGGCTATGTCTGCTGCCTCCAGTGCACCCACTCACTGCAGAAGGAGTCCAGTGAAAAAGGGTTACTGTGTCCCTTCTGCCCTTTGATTGCTCAGAAAAAGGACATTAGGCCCACTTTTTGGCTGAGGGAGCTGATTTCCAGGATCAAAAAACTAGCCCCAGCTGAGAGCTCTCTTACAGATGAACCCAAGGATGAAGAAGTTCCAAGTGGATATGACCTTGAATGTGGACACAGCCAACATCCAACTCATCATTTCTGATGACCTGAGAAATGTCCACTGTAGGCACTTCAAACAGAATAGGAAAGAGCGTTCTGAAAGATCCAACTATGTGAAGTGGAGCTGGTTCTGAAGCCGGGGTCCATCAGTCTGATTGAAGTAGTCCCAGAAGGTCCTTGGGTATGGAGGGTGCTGGCTCAGGGGGCCCCACTGGTTCCAGAAGGCAAGTGAAGTCCCCTGCCTCAAGGAGAGGGCGATCTTGTTTCCAGTGCCCCTTCCTTTTACGAGAGGGCATGGTCCCAGCAGAGCCCACTTCCTTGAGCATTTCTTATTTTAGTGACCCAGGTGGTTACAGCTGAAGCAGGCTTTAGTTCCTGGAGAAGGATATGGTTCCGGTGACCTCTTGCCTGGGTCTCCAGGGGAACTCTGTCCTGGAAAGCTCCTCCTATAATGGTAGCCACCATTTGGAAAACTTCTTTTTGCTATCGGGCCCACTGCTGGTCCTGTTCCCTTTTTCCTGTCTTCTCCCATCATCTTGGTTATTAAAGACCTTGAAGGCCAGGTCTAAAAGTTCTGTTTGTGGAGTTTGAGGCCACTTTTCAAGTTTTTGGAGTTTACATTGAGTATCGGGAGTCAACTGGGATATCAAGTGCATTGCTAATATAGATCGTCTCTCCCTTGTGTCAAGATCTAAATTAGTAAAGAGGCGAATGGCCTCAGACAGTCGTGAAAGGAAAAAGGGCTTGATTCTTATCCTTGCCCTGAGTAATTTATGTCTTCTAATCCGGCAACCTTCTGAAGAGGGAGCTGGTGCATGGGTGGGTAGTGGTTTTGGAATGGCTGGCTAGAGTGAGCACGGCTGGCAAGAGGGGTGGAGACGGAGAAGAAGAAGAAGGAGAAAAAGGAGGGGAAGAAGGACGGGGACATGAAGACAGTGGAATTAAAGGGTTAGACAGCGGCACCAAAGGAGGGAGCCAATATGGAGGGGGAAAATGGGGAGCCGAAAGGGAAATATCATCTGAGTCAGAGGAGGATGAAGATAGAGGTAAGAAGTAACATGCAGCAGACAGAGCACAGATCAGGATGTCGATCAAGTTCAAAGAAAGCCTGAACGTAGAGGACTTCAGCCCACTTACTGAGGCAGCAGCAATAAAGTTCGAGTTGTAGAATGGTATTATGATTAAGAGATCCATTCCCAGGCCAAATCTTCTGGTCATCTAATTTATGTTGTGGCCAGGCTGTACTGAAATAGAAGACTAAATATTTGGGTCAGAGGTTAGGAAGTCCCAAAGTTTGACAGTCATATATCAAAAAGTCTGAGAGGGGCATCCCTGATTCAGACGACCTTCAGAGTTCTGATCAGACATCAGGCATCCCGAGATCTGAGTCAGACCGAAACCTAGAGATTCGGCCAGAAAATGGGCATCCCTGAGTTCTGACCCAGATCAAAACCTTGAGATCTTCCCCAAAGCCAGGCGTCCCTGGGTCTGGGTGAAGACCGAGGAGGGTGGTTAGGAGGCATCCCTCCAAGGCAGCCCCACCCCAAGTGGTAGACCCAGAGCCACGTTTTCCTTACTAGATCAAACCAAAGAGCTCCCACCCCAGATGTGAATACACAACCATTTCCAAAGTCCATGAGACTCACTGAGTTCCAAATGGTATTGAGGGTGCCAAGAAGGATGTTCTGGGAGCTACGCAGCAGAGGAGGGAGCAGTTTGAAGACAGAGGTAGAAAAGTGAGTTCCCCAAGACAGAGGTAGAAAAGCAGGTTCCCCATATGGGCCACCAAAATGTTAGGGTGGAAACTCACATCACAGGCTGAGAAAGAATTTTCAACTCAAATATTAGGATATGTTTGAAACAAAAGGTTTATTTTACTTTCCAAGAGAAGAAACGACATGGCACGAAAGAAAAAAGAAAGAAGTGCCAGCAGTTAGGATGAGAAGTTTGGAGTATAGAGAACAAAGCAGTTGTTGTGAAATGATAATGGGAGTCAGCTGTGTTTGTTTTTCTCTGTAGACTGGCTTTATCAGTTTTCTCAGAATGTGTGCTGGCAGATGTCAAGGAGTGTTACACTCCTGCTGTCTGCTCAGTATTCTTGAAGTGCTGTAAAACAAACTCTTAAAGACAACAAATTAAGTCACAGGTGGTTAAGCAAACAAAGCGGCAGTTGTGTGCTGTGTGCTGTGATTTTTCTCTTTTTTTTTCTCCTTCACCTTATAGTGGATTTAATTTAATGCTGTGTATCACTCACCATTTAACAAGCAAGTATGTGTTCAACAACTCTCAACTATCATTAACGTAACATAAAAGATCCTCCTGCCCCCATAATTTTATGGAATCAGAGCAGGTACAGAGGGGATATGGAGAAAAGAATGGAGGTTTTCAGCTTCCTAGAAGAGATCTATTCTCTGCAAAGACACATTGCTGGGAACAGAGGGGACAGCGGAGGAGGGATGGCCAGGGAAAGAAGGTGTGTTTTCTCAAAGGGAAAAATTCACAGTAGAAGGTAGGAGAACTTTGGGTTCCTGAGAAGAGGTGAAGAGGGAGAGTTGGTAGAGACCAAACGGTTTGGAATCCAGTTCAGAGGTGTGTTGGTGGGAGCTCTGCTGTTTCTATGTGCACAATAGACTCATCCCCAAGCCCTGATCTTTGACAGATACTGATCAAGTACTGATCCCTTTGGGCATCAGGCAGATATATAAAAAATTACTGTCTTCCTTTGGCTTCAGGGCCCCATGCATGGTTGCACAGGATATCTGTGTGAATGGTGTCCCCAGCATTATGCAGTGCACAACCTGCACAATTGTACAGGGGAGCCCTGCATGGCCTCCACCTTCACATGCTTCTGCTTTGCATTGTGTACCATTTGGCCACCTGTGGTCTTATATAGACCATAAGGTCCCTGAGGGCAAGAACATGAATGATATAGTTTTTAACCTCTCACAGTGCCTGGTACTCTGTTGATGATCAATAATTCTCCTCTAGCCACTCTGTTAGGGGACCCTCTTCTGACTAGCTCCAAGATGAGAAAACAGCCTCCTTTGAGCCTCCCCTGACCCTCCAGGAATGTTCATTCCAGGCACCGCATATCCTCATCAAAATCTAGTGCCCAGCCCTTTGTCTGCCCTCCCTTTGATACCAGCTCAACTCAAGCACCAGGAAATCATTAATATCAGAGACTCTCAGAGGGACATGGGGAGGGCACCCTCCCCCAACCAAAAAAGCTCCAAGTTCATGTCATCAGAGCCATTGTGTACAGCCCCACAGGCTGTGCACTGTACAACTTCAGGTGGCAACCTCATCATAGATAGGATGCACTATGTGTAGATCCCATCATGCAACCTGTATCCATGCAGGATTTCAGAAGCCTCTGAGGCCATTGTTGGAAAGCTCTCATTTTCAGGCAGTTCCTAGCACCAAGCCAAAATCTGTCCAATAATGGTTCAAAATCTGTCCAATGTTCCTGATTCCTGTTCTGCCCTTTAGAGTCCTACACACAAAGCCTAATCACCTGTTGAAGACCACACTCAGGCTTCGTGGATTCCAACCCAGCCAAGAGACAACTGCAGCTGGGATGGAAGTAGCAAGGTTCAAAATGATCTGCGTACTAGATGGCCCTGCCCCTCGCATGCGTGCCTCTCTCTGCTGCTGCTGCATGCCCCAAGCCTGGCTCCTAGCCGGAGACACACAGGCCCAGTGCAAAAGTAGAGCAGTCAGGAAATCAGACAGAAAAGACTGTGCATTCCTGTTTCCTTCTCAGCAAGTTTCCCAAGTGATGGGCCTCCCTGGGCAAAAACTAATCCCCACAGCCAGGGTTCCTTGCAGCTGCCCTGTAAGGAAAGAGCCTCCAAGCTTCCTGAGAGCCTGTCTGCCATCCCCACAGGTTCCTCCCTTTGGAGGTAAGCATGCCAGGGAGTGTGGAGTGTTCGTCCCTGGGACCCATGCAGTCCAGGTTTGGGGATAAGACAAGGGTTTCCCCAGCGCAGGCAAGGACACCAACATGCTCTCATCTCCCAGGAGTAAAGTCATGCACACATCCCCTCCCAGAGGCCAGTGACACCACCTGCTCCCACAACCCCTTGGGCTGTGCTGCCTATATCCAGGGACCAAAGGTGACACTCAACTCCTTTCACTCCCATGGGTTCTGGGGACAAATCATAACACACTGAACATGGGGAGGGCACCCTCCCCCGACCAAGAAACTAAGGCACTGGGGCCAGGAGCTACAGGAAAGGAGAAGGGCAGGCCCTGGACTGCTTGTGAACCTCAGACTGATCCCCAAGAACAGAATACCTGTGAGGCGCACTAAGTGGAGGGCAAAAGAGAGAAATAAGCCCCCTTGTCCCAGAGGCAGCAAAGTGGTAAGGGAGGAATGTGAGTGGCACCCAAGAAGGCAGCAAAGGTCAGGGAGTTTGGGAGAGGTAGGCAGGGCCAGGCAGATAAGGCTCTAGGCTCTCCCCTTTGGGGCCACAGCCAGAGAAACAGCTCAATTAGTTGCATAATCCTTCTATTTGTCCAGAGCTACATTTTGTCCAGAAACTCTCTGACCTGAGAGGTGATAAAAGAAAGCGCCCAGCAAGGACTGGAGTCAGCCAGAGAACAAGGGGTGGTCTCCCAGCCTCAGAGGAAGATGGAGGCCCACAATGCATCCGCCCCTGTCAACTTCACCCTGCCACCCAACTTCGGCAAGCGCCCCACCGACATGGCGCTCAGCGTCATCCTGGTGCTCATGCTGCTCGTCACCATGCTCTCGCTGGGCTGCACCATGGAGTTCAGCAAGATCAAGGCTCACCTCTGGAAGCCTAAAGGGCTGGCCATCGCCCTGGTGTCACAGTATGGCATCATGCCCCTCACTGCCTTTGCTCTGGGCAAGGTCTTCCGGCTGACCAACACCGAGGCACTAGCCATCCTGGTCTGTGGCTGCTCACCTGGGGGGAGCCTGTCCAATGTCTTCAGTCTGGCCTTGAAGGGAGACATGAACCTCAGGTAGGGCTGGGGATGAGGAGGGAGCAGGCTGGGACAGGGTCACATTGGAGATGTCATCATCAAGGGGAATAGCTGGGCTAAAGCAAGCAGAGGGAGTGAGTGGGGGCTGGTGAACGCTGGGGCAGGGTGGGTGGCTGGCAATTATTGTCAAGAGCTTATGCTGGGCTGGGGATAGGAGCTGGTGTACTTCTTGGTTTAGGCACCAAGCCAAAGGGACTGAACTGATCCAGGAGCATTCTGGAGACCCCCTTACTCCCAGAGGTGTCTCAAGTGAAGCATAAGGATTATCTTAAAGGAGGCTTGCTTTAAACCAAAGGCACCTCTGGAGAACTATATACATTTGCACTGGTGGGCAAGTTGTCTGCTTTGAGGCCAGAGATCTGAAAGGGGTGCAATCCTTTCTAAACATTGTCAGGGAGATCAAAGTGACTTGGAACCAACGAGCACCTCAAATTCCTGCAGAGCAGGCAAGAATTTCTAAAGGGTCCTCCTAATTACTTAGGCATCTGGGATGTCTTCTTTTTAAAGTCCCTCATCCCCTTCCCCATCAGATGTAGTGCCACTTATATCCAGAGGCACAACCAAGAAGGGCCCAGAGTTTCCCAGCACCCACCCGGGTTATGCTGGCCCCACCCCAGCCAGACTGGTAGAGGGAAGACAGCAGCCTCCCCCAACCCAAAGCGCCTCGAGCACAAATCAGCGAGGGCTCGCTCCTGGAGACCCGGGACACAGGGGCTGGTCAATGCCTGTCCTTCCAAACAGGGGGGACTCAAGTCTCAAATACCCACTAGCGGAGTCATTCAGACCCGTTCCAGCTCCAGCCACCTCTGCTGAGGCTGAAGAAAACTCACTAGCAGAAGCTCTTGCCCTTAGCTAAGCCTCAGCCTCAAGCCAGTTCCCTCTGGTTCAATCCTCAGTGGAGACACTATTCGATGCCAGGTTTAGTAGTGTAGTCCAAAGGCCCATCTGCTTGTGTCTGTCAGCAGCCTACCTCTGGCCAAAATTTGCTCAGAAAACAAACAAGTAAAGAAGTCCCCCTTGGTGACGCCAAATGACCCTGGGACCGATTTTTACACGAAAAAAACCAGGAGAGAGTTGGGGGTTGCCAGGCCCCACCCTCTGAAATGCTCTGGGCTCTCGACCACGTAGCACAGCCTCACTTAGGCAGTCAATGAGAGAGGCGCGAAGAGGGGACTTGGCTCGTGCAGGCTCCCACAGGGATATATTGCAATGTTCAACCATCTCACGGGAGGAAATTCTTCCCTCTGGCCAATTCGAATCCTTCCTGCTGCAAAGCAAGCCCTCGGTCTTTGATCTGGCCTGCAGACAGGGCTCATTGCAGCCTCTGTGTCCCCAGGAACCCAAACTATATCTTAAGCCCAGTGTAGAAGAGATGCAGGGAGTCAGGGGCCAGGGAGGGGCACTCTGAGGGCTTTGTGTCTCTGTGGAAGAAGCAGAGCAGTAGAGACAGCATAAGGGACAACAGGGGAGTTTTTAAGTGTGAGTGACCAGATGCCCCAGCCTCATCAGCCAGTGGGTGCTTATGAGGCCTCTGCAATGTCTGCCTTTCTGTGGTGCTTGGCCCCGCCCAGCCAAGCCTCTGGCGACTCAAAAACATGACCCCCTCATGCTCTTCCGCTCAGCCTCTTGTCCTCTGTCACTTCTATTTAGACCCCACAAGAGATAATGCTCTGCTGGGACGCCTCCCTTCTGCCATAAAGCCCCTTCCCCACGAACAAGCCTCCCGCACGACTCGTTAAGCCAGGCCCCCGACCCCACTGGCGGGGCGTGAATCTCCTCCACCATCATGTGCTGCCGGACTTCAAAGTCCAATCCGAGTTTACCTGGGACAACTTGTTACGCGTACTGTAATAAGGACAAGGATAAGAAATAGCCAGGCACTGCACTGAACACTGCACCTGGATAAGTGCGTGTCATCCGCATACAGCCCCCGGAGAGGGTGCTGTGACCACTCACATTTAGAGACGACGAAACTGAGTCCAGGTTAACACACTTGCTCAAGGTCTGGGTGGCTCCAGAGCCTGTGCTTTCACTCAGATATCTTCGAGTCCCGCATGACCACAAACAAAGCAGCAGCTTGGAGGCACGGCCCCTTTAACTAGGGCAGGCGCCATGCGGCAGCAGCGGCGTTCTGTGGGAGCGGGAGGCCCACGGCCACCGCAGCTTCCTGCTTTTCAAGAGAAGGTAGAACCTCCATTTTGGCGTGAAATCAGCAACTCATTCGAATTGTCTAAAAAGATTGTGCAAACCAAACAATACATGTTGAAGAGCCAGACATAGCTTACAGGCCTCAATTTGCGACCTCTCTTGACGCACAACACCTATTTCCCATTCAGAGTTGGGAGGAAGCGTAAGACACCGATTCCATCTTATACATGAAGAGACTGAAGTCCGGAGTCTTGCCAAAGGTCTCCCAGATCTGTGGGAAGCTTGTTTCTAGAGCCAGCCCAGGGCTCTCTCCCAGTGAGGCAGCTGGAGCGGGTCTGGGGACAGTCTGCCATCACAGGAGCCTGGGCCACCAGGTGGACCCCTCGACATAGCCAGGCATGGCAGCTCCTTCCTCATGGATACCACTAGACAAGCTGCAAAAAATGTAGGTGACACACAGGCAAGAAAAAGTGCCCTCAAAGCTGAAGTGAGCTTGGCTTGCCAGGGACAGAGGAGAGTGCCAGAGGACCTGGCCCCCTTTGGCCGACTGCCCCGGTTCCCCTCAAGCTCGTCTGCTCCGCCCACCACCTCCGGCCTCACAGCAGAGACCAGAGACCAGACCGCAACCTAAGAACTTGCGCAGGTCTGCCCCCCGTCATGTAGGAAGCCCAACCATGATGAGATGGAAGCCACCGGGACTCCCAGAAGTTTCCCACCTCCCCACACTGATTCTCATGGGTCCCCTCACAACTCCCTCAGCTGCTGCCTCTAATCCCTCCATTGACAGAGGCTCAACATAGTCCCTCAAACAGGGTGTATAGGTGTCCAGAAATAGGGTCTATGCAATGCTCTTAAGCAGGAAGTAAAAATAAAAAAGTAAATGTGCTCCTTTCCCCCTGAGAGGCAGCCAGGCCCACGGTGCTACCATGCTTCCAATCTCTGAGAGCTAGAATAGGTAAAGTCACCTCCCCTCTCTGTCCCTATCCCTCAGGGTAAACTGAGGTTAAACGACATGCACAGACACCAGCCAGCTAGGAGATGGATGTCCCTGAACAGCCCCCAGCACCTGTGCATGTGGAGGAAATACATGGAGATCTAGGAACATGCTCCCACCTACCCAAGCTGACAAGGCATACCAAGTGCAAGAGCAAACTCCAACACTCCTACACACTAAGCCAAAGTAAACATAACTTCTCTGCTCTAGCACACCAAAACAAACACACAACTTGCGCATGGCTTTTCTCCTAAGAAGAGATCGATAGGTAGCATTGAAGGCCCCTGTATTCCCCTCCCCAATCTCATTCCCCTCTGCCGTATGTCAAAAGGAGCACCTCCCAGAATTTGGTGTTCAGCATTTCCACAGATCTTTTTCAACTACTAGCACGTGCATATATTCAGAAACAAGATATGCTGTTGTATTTGTATGTCTTTAAATTTTACGTAAACAAAATTAGCCAGGCGTTGTGGCACACGCCTGTAGTCCCAGCTACTTGGGAGGCTGAGGCAGGAGGATGGCTTGAGCCCAGGAGTTTGACGTTGCTGTGAGCTACGATGATGCCACTGTACTCTAGCCTAGGCAACAAAGTAAGACACTGTCTCAAAAAAAAATTATATTAATATAAACAGTTGACAACTTCCTTTTTTTGAGAGATAAGCATTTCAATAAAATGGCTACTTCATGCATTTGAACTGCTATATAGTTTGCTTGTAGTCATCCATTTTCCTGTAAGACATTTATGTGGATTTCATATCTGGCTTCTATGAACAGTGCATAGCTGATACATGAGGGCGTGCATAATAAAACTAGAACTGCTTTGTCATGGGATTCACACATTTTTTTTTTTTTTTTTTTTT